TCCAGACGATTGGCCGGGCTGTTCCTTGCCCAATCAGGTGTCTCCCTCAACATCATATGGCCGCCGCCTCCAGGACTTCTCCTGAGCGTGAATTTCCATGGGAAAAAAAGACGAGGAGACTTCGGTACATGTCTTTGGGGCCTGATGCTTTGTGTTTGTGGCTGTTGTCAGATTTTCGTCTGGCTTGCCGGGCTTGGCTCTGGGCCCCCCGGGAGATCCTGTGCATCTGCCCTGTGCTCTGCTGAGCTTTGTGGGAACGTGGGACGGCTCACGTCAGGTGACGAGGTGCTCTGGCCGAGGTCAGGCTCCCAGATCTGCTTTCTAGGACGTGAGCACCCTAGGTACACGTCGAGGGGAAGTGCCTGCCTTCGCGCTTGCTAGAGAATGTCGCTAGAGTGTGAAGCGTCTTTCAAAAAAAATTAATTCAGAAAATTCTAATTGTGGTGAAATACACATTCAGTTTACCGTCTTAGTCATTTGTAAGTGTGCAGTTCAGTAGGAAGTATATTCACGTTGTTGTGCAACCCATCTCTAGAACTTTGTCATCTTGCAAAACTGAAACTCTGTACCCAGTAAACCACCCCCCCATCCCATCTCCCAGCCCTTCTCCTAGCCCCTGAAGTAGGAAGCTTTGTCTTCTCTCCATCTTCCCTCCTTTTTGAGCATTTGCCCCAAGGGAAGCGACTGAGCCTTTGGGGTTGTGGTTGTATAGAATGCACAGAACTGTCATCAGCCCAGCGAGGAGGAAATGGAAAGTTCTGCCAAGAGAGGTTGTTCCTATAGTTTTTCCTTCCTGAAATTTGTGCTCTTTTATGCAGGTTCTTTATGCACCTTTTCTGTGGCATGTCACAGTTCCATTGAAAATTGCGTATGTGTTATTCCTTTATATTTTTATTTTTATTTTATTTTTTAAAAGATTTTATTTATTTATTTGAGAGAGAGAGAATGAGAGAGAGCACATGAGAGGGGGGAGGGTCAGAGGGAGAAGCAGACTCCCTGCCGAGCAGGGAGCCTGATGCGGGACTTGATCCAGGGACTCCGGGATCATGACCTGAGCCGAAGGCAGTCGCTTAACCAACTGAGCCACCCAGGCGCCCTGTGTTATTCCTTTAAACCTTCCTTAAATAATATCCTCTAACGCCTTTGGCTGGTGTTGACATTCTAGGCGATGATTAGATTGCACCTTGAAATCCTCTGTGACTTGAATTTTCTCCCTCAGAACTGCAGGTTTTCATTCTTCCTATTTTTGATGTTTTGAATTGAGGTTTTCCAGTTTGGGCCCAATCCTACTGGAAAAATCTGAGTCGCAGCCATTGGGTGGTTCTCAAAATATCAAAACAAGGAAAAAGTTATGTGTTTTCCTCTTCACCCAGGTTTGGGGATAGGTAATTAAGACATGACTTCAGTATTGGCCTACAGATGGTCCAGTGTAAAAAAAAAAAAAAGAGAGAGCGAGAGAAAAGAAATGACTACTATTTTGTTCTTAGTGGAATAAATTTGGGGGGTGGGGTGGAGTAAGAACAGAACAACTAAATGTGTTCCATTTTTCCTTGTGGGAAAGAATATTAAGTTACCCAAAGATTTTCTTTTGCTTTAATAATAGTTTTCAAAGAATTAAATTTCATGTAATTATTCTTTTTTAGATTTTTTTGTACTGGAAAAATAAGATCCAAGCAATGACACAGCTAAATTCCTTTGTCACACAGATGCTCAAACATTGTATGCTTCACGTGGCCTTGATTAACTGTGGCTACAGTCTGCTCTGGTTGTTGTTTTATGTTGCGGCTGATGTACCAAAGAACACAGTAAAAGTTTTAATGCCCCTGCTGGAAAATTCTCCCTTCTAGATTGTGTCTATCAGGAAAAAAAAAAAAAAGAAAGTTTCAAAACCAAGTGAAATAAGTCAGAGAAAAAGAAATACTGTATGATCTCACTTATATGTGGAATCTAAAAAGGCTAAATTCCTAGATACAGAGAAGAGTTTGCTGGTTGCCAGAGATGCAGGTGGGCAATGGGTGAAGGGGGTCAAAAGGTGCAAGCTTGGGCGCCTGGGTGGCTCAGTTGGTTAAGCGACTGCCTTCGGCTCAGGTCATGATCCTGGAGTCCCGGGATCGAGTCCCGCATCGGGCTCCCTGCGGCGGGGAGTCTGCTTCTCCCTCTGACCCTCCCCCTCTCATGTGCTCTCTCTCTGTCTCATTCTCTCTCAAATAAATAAATAAAATCTTTAAAAAAAAAAAAAAGACTTTAAAAAAAAAAAGGTGCAAGCTTCCATTTATAATAAATCTTGGGGATATAATGTACAACAAGGTGACTATGGTTAATAATACTGGATCATATGTTTGAAAGTTCCTAAGAGAGCAGATCTTAAAAGTTCTCATCACAAGAAAACAAATTGTAACTATGCGAGGTGATGGGCGTTAACTGAACTTCTTGTGGTGATCATCTTGCAGTATATTGTATATATGTCAAATCATGTTGTACACCTAAAAATAATACAATGTTATATATCAATCACATCTCAATAAAACTGGAAAAAACAAAGGAAAAACCAGGACACAATGAAGCAGAAGTATTTCGCCAGGTGTTCAAAAGATTCTCATCCCTGTTCTCTCCGTATCTTCTTCTACCACCTACCTGATCTATCCCATTATACCCCCCTCATCCTGCTTTGTCCATATTACAGGAGAGGGAGCCAGGGATTCTCACATTCAATGGGCCTTTCCCTGTCCATGTCAACTTTGATTCCTCTGCCTTGTTTGAGATTTCCTCCCTCTCTTCCCCTTGAAACACTTTCCTTGGATTTTTTTTGATACTGAGGTCCTTCTACCAACAAGAGGTGCAAAACCGAGAGGGACAAATCCTCTTTTGTTACTCTAACCCTGTCTCCATGACACACTGTGGTTAGAATGAGGACTTCAGGCATAAAGGAGGATTGTGGCCTTATTGGCTGGACAAGCCTGCATATGAATTGGGGTCATTGTTGACTAGCTGTGGGTCTTGAGCAGGTGGCTTTCTCTTGATGAGCTGAGGGTGGTGGAGATACTGACCTTGACAGGTTTTGATGAGGGTTAGAGATTACACAGGACTGCATGTGGCAAATACGGCCACAGGCATTGACCTTCCCCTTCTTAAAGGTCCCCTTAAATGTCCCACATAAAAACCCAGAATGGGAGTTTTGAGTTTTCTATCAGGATTATCTAATACCCATTCCTTCTATGGGAATCTGCTGTTCTATGCCTTTTTTTTTTTTTTAAACAACTGATTTCCAGCTTAGCTCTGTGTGTGATTTCAGAGTTTTCTATCATGTGCATATTTCTTTTGGGAATTCATATTTATGGGAATTTTGGGGTCTCAGAGGCCTTTTTTTGTTTTAAAGATTTATTTCACAGCGAGAAAGAGTGAGCATGGGGGGAGGGGCAGAGGGAGAGGGAGAGAGACTCCTCAAGCAGACTCCCCGCTGAGCATGGAGCCCGACATGGGGCCCAATCCCATGATCCCAAGATCATGATCGGACCTGAAATCAAGAGTCAGATGCTCAACTGACTGAGTCACCCAGGTGCCCCTCAGAAGGCCTTTTAAATAAAATGTGGGTCATATTTCTCATGTGTGTGTGTATTTTGTTGTTTTAAAAAGACTTCATGAACACTGAAAATTAAATTTTGTGTAATTATTCTTTTTTAGATTTTTTTGTACTGGAAAAATGCAGGGTTTTAATATTTTTAATTAATATAATTTTTAATGAGTATAATTTCTATCTTATAAAAAATTTCTATTTTAGTCATTTGTATTATATGTTTTAGATTTATAGAAAAATTGAACAACTAGTACAGAGTTCCCCTACACAATTTCTCCTCTTATTAACATCTTATAATAGTATGGTATAACTAATGGACCAATATTGATGTATTATTTTTTATTGAAATAATTAACATACAGTGTTATATTTCAGGTGTACAACATTATGATTCAATAATTCTATACGTTGTTCAGTGCCCACCATGATAAGTGTAGTCACCATCTGTCCCCAAACAATGTTATTACAATCTTACTATATTTCCTATGCTATATTTTTCATCTCTGTGACTTCTTTATTTTATAACTGGAAGTTTATACCTCTTAATCCCCTTTACCTATTTCACTCATCCCCCACTCACCTCCGCTCTGTTAACCATCAGTTTATTCTCTGTATTTAAGAGTCTGTTTTTGTTTGCTCATTTTATTTTTTAGATTCCACATATAAGTGAAACCATGTGGTACTAGTCTTTCTCTGACTTATTTCACTTAGTATAATACTCTCTAGGTCCATCCATATTGTCACGAATGGCAAGATCTCATTCTTTTTCATGGCTGAGTAATGTTCTGTTGTATATATGTATACTTCTTCATCCATTCATCTATCGATCGACACTTGGGCTGCTTCCATACCTTTTTGGCTATTGTAAATAACACTACAATAAACACAGGGGTGCATACATCTTTTCAAATTAGTGTTTTCATTTTCTTTAGGTAAATACCCAGTAGTGGGAATTACTGGATCATATGGTAATTCTATTTTTACTTTTTGGAGAAACTTCCATACTGTTTTCCCCAGTAGCTACACCAATTTACATTCCCACCAACAGTGCATGAGGGTTCCTTTTCCTCCACATCCTCCCCAACACTTGTTATTTCTTGTCTTTTTGATGCTAGTCATTTTGACAGGTGTAAGGTTGTATCTCATTGTGGTTTTGATGGGTATTTCCCTGATGATTGAGCATCTTTTCATGTGTCTGTTGGCCATTTTGTGTGTCTTTGAAAAAATGTCTGTTCAGGTCCTCTGCCCATTGGATTATTTTTTTGGCATTCTGACTGATTATTATTGACTAGAGTCAATAGTTAATGCAGATGTCCTTAGTTTTTACCTAACATCTTCTGTCTGTTCCAGGATCCCATTCAGGATACCACTGTATTTTTATTAATTTTTATATTTATGTCATTAATTCTCTTTTCTCTCTTGACAGGTATACAATATGTTTCAGCACCAGAGCCTTGGAAGTAAGGTGAACATTCAGGTTACCAAGCTCGTCCTGCTACGACAACGGCCTGTAAGTCCCCATGGACGCCCACCAGAGCACATAGACGGCGTAACTGGTCTGGAAGTTTCCTAGTTGCTGTGGAGTGCTAAGGAGGAGTGTAGGTGGTTGTCAGTCTTATCTGCCCTCCCAGGCTTTGCAGATGGCAACCGTGTGCCCTGGGTCAGGGACTGGGGATATCCAATGGGAGGAGGGCAGGTATTGTTACTAGAAGCTTGGTGTGCACATGTTCTGCTTGGAATTTTGGGAGAACCCTGAGCAATGAGCCTGTGTGCCTCCCTCCAACCCTCCCAGCACATCTCACATATGCAAATCTAGATGGTGAGGTCTTTGGAAACCAGTGGCTATACTTTTGAATTTGGATTCACTGTAGCAGTGTTTTCTGGTCTTTGAGTTGAATGCATTCCCATATAATAATGTTACTTGCAGAATCGGGCAATGAACTTGAAAAACAAGAGACCGATGCTTGGTTGGGTATACAGTTCAGTTTGCCAAAAAAAAAAAAAAGAAAAGAAAAGAAAGAATATTTTTCTTTAATAACATAGTCTTCCACTTGAACTTACAAATAAGGCCCTGGCCTCTCTCTGGGACTGGGCACCTTCCTACCAGCATTAGGGTTGGATTTGGGAGAAGCACATCACTGAATGATGTCCCATCGAGCAGCTCTCTCCACACTATATTCTGAACATAAACTCCGGCTTCCCTGGGTGTTTGCTTCTTTAACTGCCCCCACCGACCCCAATTTCTTTTAGGCCAAATTGTCCATTGGGCACCACGGTGAGCGGTCCCTGGAGAGCTTCTGTCACTGGCAGAATGAGGAATACGGAGGAGCCCGGTACCTCGGCAACAATCAGGTTCCAGGAGGGAAGGATGATACACCCCCGGTGGATGCAGCTGTATTTGTTACCAGGTGAGGCTGGACTTGGTCTGTAGCTGCACGTGCAACAGAGGAAAGACCTGTCCCTCTTTGGAGAGGAAAAGAGGACAGTTTGCTAAGAATTCAGGCTTGGAAATCAGACCTTGCTCCAACTCTCTGAGCCTTGGATTCCTCATCAGTAAAATTGGGGATCTATTACAGTACCTAACCCTTAGTTATGAGGGTTCAGTGAGCACAGGAAGTGCTTTTCATGGTGCCTGGCCCAAAGTAAGGATGCAGTAAGTGCTAGCCATAATTGTTGCTGTTGTTATTATTAATATAAAAGTAGCAAAATTCTGGTTACCCGAGAGTCTTAACACTTCTAAGAAAATGCATCTACTACCTCTCCTGGGCACCAAATAAAACACTCACCAGGCAAGAGCTAACCTGTGTTCGAGGCTGCCTCCCAACTGGCTTGAGCATGCTACTGGGGGGAGAGTGGATAACCCGAGTTCCCTGTGGGAGGGAGTCCATGTAGGCATCCATGTGCTGTGCACGGCCCCAGCCCCGGGGCACTCCTGGGGCAATACCGGTCGGCAGAGATGCCTGGGGAATTCCCATGCACGTTCTGTTGCAAGTAAGGAGCTGAGCTGCTTTCTAGACTACAGAGCTGGACTTTTCCAGACTGCGAGGGACACCAGGGGCCCCGCAGCGGACCACAGAAATGAGACAGCCTTCCACACAGGCAGCAGTCACGTTATTTTAGCTTGCCAGGGCTGCAGTAACAAATGACCACAGACTGGGGGGCTTAGAACAACAGAAATGTATTCTTGCACCGTTTTGGAGGCCAGAAGTCCAAGACACGGTGTGGGCAGGGCCGTGCTCTCTCTGAAGGCTCCAGGAGAGGAGCCTTGCTTCCTTCTTCCTAACTTCCAGTGGTGGCCTGCAATCTTTGGCATCCCTTGTCTTGTAGACGCATGGCTCCGACCTCTCCTTCACTGTCACCCTGTCGTGTGGCCTCCTCCCTCTGTCCCTCTTTGCCTCTTCTCATAAGGACACCAGTCCTTGGATTAGGGCCCAGCTTGGCCCAGTGGGACCTCATCTGAACTTGCTTACACCTGCACTGACCGTCTTTCCAAATAAGATTGCATTCACGGGTACAGGTACCAGGCGTTAGGACTTGAACATATCTGTTTTGGGGGACACAATTTAACCCACAACAGATATGGATATGGCTCTTTCATTTTTCCCTTATGTCTCAAACCTCTCTGAGAAAAACTGATTTGCTTGGGTTCCTTTACTTCCACAATGTAAGTAGAATGCATTATGTATTCACACCAAGACCCCCCTTTACAAAATAGGCAGAAGTGTTTCTTGATAATTTTAATCTGTCAGATTAAAATATCAAAATGTTATTAGACTTGCTATGAATCTGTCCATTGTGAATTTTAAGGAATTTTAAAAATTAACTTCAGGAAACTACTTCTCAAATTATATATTTTCTTTTTTTTTTCTCCTGAGTTCAGAGGTGAAGCTTTAGATAGGAGCACTTTACCATTCTGTTAGCTTAAGAAAGCCTGCCCCTCTAAGAGGGGCCAGAAAGGCCCTCTGGTGTATCTCTTGAGCCACGTACTGTAAGCCCCTGGCCCAGTGATGCTCTGAAGCTGGCTGGGAAAGTTCTGGCACCTTATCCCCAGGCACCAGGCAATGCAACTGCCTAACTTTCTCCTCTTTAAAAAACATTGCTATCCCCAGACACCAGACACATACCTCATCACCCTTGTGGATGATGCATCAGTCGCCCACCCCAAAGGGTTAAAATGTACTCTGTAGCACACTGATCCCTTATGAGAGCATTTTCTGCTCTTACAGGATGTGATTTAAATGTATAATGGGACATGTGAGAAGACATCTATTCAGTAATTCTGATTGCCTGCCATCCGGCTGGTACCCTACCAGGCACCAAGGACAAGCGATGAGCAGGAGCCGGTTCTTGCTTTGGATCTGGGTTTGCCCACCCCAGGGAGTGCTGGGAGCCTCCAGGTACCACCTCCCCCAGTGGCTCTGCTTCCCCTCCCCGCCGCCTCGTGCTCACTGGCCAGAGGTTGCCATGGCTCCAGGCACTTTGAAGTGGTTTTTGAAGCCTATGGGCCCTGCGGATTGCAGTGTTGGGGTGATAGTACCCTTTGAGAGCGGATTTGATTTGGGGAGCAGGGAAGAGTCTTTGGGAACCATGTCCGCGTACGACTGTAAATTCGCACGACTGATTTTCCAAATGCTAATTAAGTGAGGTCCTAGGGAAGAGCTCTAAATAACATCATCTTTGGAATGTTCAACTAAACTTCCAAGGTCACTACTTTGAAAGTGGTTCGTACCAAAACTAGATAAAATGTACAGGTTCTGGTGTTTGTGAGACCTTTCCCGATGTCGTCTTTTGCCTGCAGTTTCATTCCTTGTCTGGGTCGAGGATGCACTTGCAAGTGGTCTTGGTTTGGGAACGAGTAGCCCCCCCCGCCTTTATTTTTCAGAGGCAGTAAGTGTTACTGAGATCAGTGTTGACAAAACTTCTGGATTAGCCTTTCCACAAAATGCCGACGGCAGACGCGAATGCACCCTTGGCCTGAGAAGGCTGTCAGTTAGGTTTCCTGGCTTTCTTTTCTGCTTCCCGCCTCCAACAGACTTACTTACTGTACTGGAAATATTGTGCGTAAAAATGTCAGTATTTTTTTACATCGCACACCCATTAGGTTACATTAGGTTTGGGCTCCTACCCAAAACAAAACAAGACAGAAAATAACGAGCATTGTCAGGATGTGGAGAAACTGGAACCCTTGTGCACTGTTGGTGGGAGATATTAAATGCATCCCCGAAATACTAAATGCAGAATTACCCTTTGCTCCAGCAATCCTACTTCTGAGTGTAGACCCAAAAGCATTGAAATGAGGGTTTCAAAGAGATGTGTGTACCTATGTTCATGGCAGCATGACTCATAATGGCTAAAATGTGGAAGCAACCAAGCGTCCTTTGATGGATGAATGGGTAAACAAAATATGGGCTATGCATACAGTGGAATATTATTCAGCCCTATAAAGGAAGGACATCTTGTCACAGGCCACAACCTGGGTGAACCTGGAGGACGTTATGCTGAGTGAAATACACCAGTCACAAAAAGCCAAATAAGGTATGATTCCACTTATCTGAGGCCCCTAGAGCAGTTAAATTCATAGAGACAGGGTGTAGAGCTGGAGAGAGGAGGAATAGGAAGTTTGATGGATAGAGTTTCAGTTTTGCAAGATGAAAAAGAGTTCTGGAGATTGGTCGCCCAACATTATAAATGCATTGAACATCACCGAACCGTACGCCTAAAAATGTTGAAGATAGCAAATTCTGTGTTATGCGTATTTTATCACAATAAGACCATTTGAAAATTTTTCTAATTAAGCCCTTAGGGGGTGGTCCCGAATGCATGGAGTTGGTTCTGAGGGCAGGTGCTAGGGAAGGGCATGTCTGGAGGCCCCCAAGAGCAAGGTTCCTTCTGCGGCAGGCAGAGCCAACAAAAAGGCCTCCTGCATCTTGGTTAGCTGAGGCCAGCCCGGGAGCTGGCGTTTTCTTTCCCCGTTTCGAGCTGAGCTCTGATGAGCTACCTCAGCGCTCGTTCTTCCTCTTACCTGCTTCTGCGGAGCCGCTGGGCCGAATGGGCCAGTGCCCAGCTCGCTCCCTGGGTCCTCCCAGCTGTGAAATTGAAGACCTCCCAGCAGGACGGGGAAGGCAGCGCCGGAGTCGGGGCTGGGAGCCGAGTTGGCTGAGAGGCATTGTTTAATAATTAGAGGCTGCGAGCTGCAGTTCGCCAGGTTGGGATAACAACGGGCCGATGTTTTCACGGGGAAATGGGGTTTTCACGTGCTGCTCTTGAGAAGCAGCTCTTTCCTCCCGGAGTAATCTGAGCTGAGACAGGGTTGAGGGGCCAGTGTCCCCCAGTCCTGGGACTGAACGCTGGCCAATGCAGGGGTTTCTTCCCGCCTCCCTCCCTTCCTTATGGGCTGTGGCTGAGCCCCAGAGTGCATTCTCTCCTGGACGCCCACCAGCCCTCCAGATGGCCAGGCATAGGGATGTAAGCGTGACATCATGTCCAGCAGAAGCTGCTGAGCCGGAATCCACGGAAGCTGGCTTTCTGGCAGCTGCAGCCGTGTCTGGGGCTAGAAAACACCTCTGAGTGGACGGGGGCTGGGGACCACATGGCACCCACACAGAGGACTGAGGTCTGGGGGGCTTCAGCACCTGGCACCGCTTTACCTTTGGCCCTGCATCTCCCGCAGGAAGCCACGAGAGAGGGATTTCCCCCCCAAACCCAGGTCTGTGCTCCCGGGAGACACCGGGAGCAAACCTGCAGGGCCAGCTCGGGGCTCCACCACAGGTACACCTCCAGATGTCCCTCCACCTTCCCCTCCATGTCACTGCATCCCGCTCCCCAGGAACGGTCTTCTCTTCAGCCTCTGACCAAGTGGGTCTCTTGCAGGCCTAGCTCACGGTGAGAGCTCAGTGAGTATCTGGACCATCGCATTACATTTTTTTCAGGTTTCCAAACATTGCGGAGACAAGGCCACTGGTAAGCTTGCACGGCAAGTTGAAAGTGGTCTGGAAATGTATTTCCGTCAGTAATAAAGGAGCCACTATTAAGCCCCAGCTGTATGCCAGGCAATCGGTTATGCACAAGATTAGGTACATAAATTGTGGGGCCCATTGTGGAATGAAAATAGGGGAGCCTGCCTACTCTTGAGGAACAAGCACTGGAAAGTAAATGGACTAGAGACGGGAGGGCTCTGTCGGGACCCCACTTGAACCCAAGCATGCGGGTTTGGCATGAGTTTGCAGTGGGTGCAAGATTACCTAGATGAAGCTGCCCCTGTAGGCAAAGGGCTTGTGTTTTCTGAGAAAGGACCTTGAACAGGAAGGAGAGAGAAGATTCAAATCTTGGCTGACCCTTTCAAGCCAGGCTTCAAATTGAGCTTGGCTCTCCCGTCCGTGAGCAGACCACACTTCCTCCCACTTCCTCGGGAGAAACAATGGATGATGTTGCAGGGTCCATCATTTGAGACCACCTATTTCCCTTCAGAGAAGCCATGGGATGAGAGAACACACAGTGCGCCTGTCAGCCATCAGGGCTGGCTTTCTCCAAGATGGAACCATCTCCTACTCAGTTCTATTTAGTTCTTGACTGTGGGGCCGACGGTCCCGTGCGCTTTCTCCTTTTGCCCAGGCTTTAGTCGTGTTCACTCTGGGAAACCCTAGAGCAAGGTGTTGGGCCACCCTGATCCTTGTGTGCATGTGACGTTCGAGACATTCAAGTGGGAGGGGGTGTCCGATCAACAGTGTTGAGCTGGGGTCAGATAGATAGCAGAGCAGGGAGAATGTTTATGTCCCCAATTTTATTTGTTTGGTTTTCTCTGTGCTGCTGATGCTTCCTCACCACCTTCTACTGCCTGTTAATTAGTCTTTTAGAAGGTCTTTTGTTTTGAGTTTTTAAAGATTTTATTTTATTTTTTTTTATTTGACACAGCGAGAGAGGGAACACAAGCAGGGGGAGCGGGAGAGGGAGGAGCAGACTCCCCGCTGAGCAGGGAGCCCGATGCGGGGCTCGATCCCAGGACCCTGGGATCATGACCTGAGCCGAAGGCAGACGCCCAACGACCGAGCCACCCAGGCGCCCCTGTTTTGAGTTTTTAATTCCAGTTAGTTAACTTACAGTGTTAGTGTTATACTAGTTTCAGGTGTCCAATATAGTGATTCAGCACTTCCATATATCACCCAGTGCTCATCACAAGTGCCTTCCTTCATCCCTGTCACCTGTTTCATCCATTCCCCCCCACCCACCTCCCCTCTGGTAACCATCAGTTTGTTCTCTCTAGTTAAGAGTCTGTTTCTTGGGGCGCCTGGGTGGCTCAGTTGGTTAAGCGTCTGCCTCCAGTTCAGGTCATGATCCCAAGGTCCTGGGATCGAGCCCCATGTCCCACTCCTGGCTCAGCAGGGAGCCTGCTTCTCCCTCTCCCTCTGCTGCTCCCCCTGCTTGTGCTCTCTCTCTCTCTCTCTCTCTCTCAAATAAATAGGTAAAACCTTTAAAAAAAAAAAGTCTTGTTTCTTGGTTTGTCTTTTTCCCTTTGCTCGTCTCTTTTGTTTCTTAAATTCCATGTATGAGTGGGATCATATTTTGTGTTTCTCTGACTGGCTTACTTCACTTAGCATTATACTCTCTAGCTCCATCCACGTCATTGCAAATGGCAAGATGTCATTCTTTTTGATGGCTGAGTAACATTCCATTGTGTGTGTGTGTGTGTGTGCGCGCGCGCGTGTATACACACCACATCTTCTTTATCCCTTCATCTATTGTTGGACACGGGTTGTGCCATATCTTAGCTATTGTAAATAATGCTGCTGTAAATATAGGGGTACATGTATCCCTTTGAATTAGTGTTTTTGTATTCTCACTGCTGGGTATTTACCCAAAGAATAGAAAAACACTAAAAGGTCATCTTTGACAGAAAAAAATCAAGGCTTCCTTTTATGGCGCCTATAGTTATCCCCCTTTCCCTGCAAGTTCCTGTGGTTTTGGAGTGGGACTGTGACAAGTGTAGGGTTCTTTTTTTTTTTTTTCAAATGTGGGATTCTTGAAGGCTTCCTTTTTTCCTTTGTTAAAACGGTCTTCAAATTGATTATCAAAACATATAGGTTTGTTATGAAAAAGTTAGAAACTTGCAGTGAGCAGAACCTGTGTGGGGTTGGCCCCAGCTCCTCCTCCGCGTTTCTTTGGCCAGTTTCGGGGCCACGCCTTCAAAGCTGCCCCCTCCTCTCTTCTGGGCTTGCAGGCTGGCCGGTGCATCTGGTTCTGTAGATCAGGAGCCCGAGCAGAATCTGTGGGTCTGAGTAGGCGGGTGGAGTCTTTGACAAAGCTCAGGTGAGCCTGAGCCTCAGGTGAACCTGAAGCCAAGCCAGAGTTGGGAACACACAGCTCTGCCCCATTTCCGCTGAGAGGCGTCAGGTGTGGGTCACAGTTTGGAGGCAAATACAACAGAACATGCTGTGCATCTGAATGGGATTGATGTGGAGGGAGAAGGAAAGAGGACCATACAGAGTTAGGTTAGGAGAGTGACACATTCCCTTCTCTGTCATCATGCCCACTGTGAATGGCAGGTCAGAGCCTTCCCTGAGAAGAGATTTTGACAGAGGGTAGTGGAGGAATTGAGGAGTTGACCTGATGTCAGGGTGTCAGAAAGGGGAAAAGTGGCCCAGCCCGGACCTGCCACTTTCTTTGACAACTGGGCTTAGTGCCCACCTTGTCTGGCTGGCCCCATCTTCCTTCCCAGAAGAACTTCAGCATGAGAAGAAGTGGCTTCAGAACACACCTTCTAAACCTGAAGGAGTTTAAGGGAGTGGGCATTTTCTGTCAGCTCCCCACGGCCCCCATGAGCAGATGAGCATGGGGCCCTGGGGTGGGGAGAGGGAGGACCAGACCGCTGTTGCCTTGCCCAGTCCCAGGCAACCGGAGATCAGGTCAGCCCCTAACTGTGGGAATGCTCTGGTTTTGGGGAAAAAAGGGCCCAGACCTATTGTTTCAAACATGAGTGGCTAGAGACCATAGTGAACCCCTGGGGCTGGACCAGCTTTTGAGCTGCTCTCCACACACACACACACACCCACACACACACACACACACCCCGGGGGCGGGGATCCTGGGAAGCTTTAAAGGATCTAACTTTAAGAAATCACTTTCCAGGGCACCTGGGTGGCTCAGTTGGTTAAGCGTCTGCCTTCGGCTCAGGTCATGATCCCAGGGTCCTGGGATCGAGCCCCGCATCGGGCTCCCTGCTCAGCGGGGAGTCTGCTTCTCCCTCTCCCACTCCCCCTGCTTGTGTTCCTGCTCTCGCTGTGTCTCTCTGTCAAACAAATAAAATCTTTAAAAAAAAAAAATCTTGGGCGCCTAGGTGGCTCAGTTGGTTAAGCGACTGCCTTCGGCTCAGGTCATGATCCTGGAGTCCCTGGATCGAGTCCCGCATCGGGCTCCCTGCTCGGCAGGGAGTCTGCTTCTCCCTCTGACCCTCCTCCCTCTCATGCTCTCTGTCTCAAATAAATAAATAAAATCTTTAAAAAAAAAAAGAAATCACTTTCCATGATCTTCTCATATAAGTGCTATGTGGTCACTTCAGCATCTAAAGCCAGTTGCCGCCCACGTAGAGTCGTTTGGGGTAGTCACTATAGTTTGATGATATTGCAGAGTAATTGTCTCTGATGCAGGACTTGCAGTTGTTGGAGGGAGCCCTCCCAGCAACCAAGTGTTAGGTGGAGTTTAGCTACAAAGGGAGGGCCTCCCAGTTGGGAACATTGTGGATGGGTGACTCTTGACAAATGGCTAGTTGTTGTTCTTGGCTGACCTGTGACAGCTTCGGCAGTGACCTTGCTATGGGCAGGACGACTAGTCAAGCTTAGCGGACAGTATTTTCTTCTCCCATTCTCGGGGGCCACCGCATATGCCTGACCATGTCTGTCTTTGTGTTCCTTTTTTAGGACAGATTTCTGCGTACACAAAGATGAACCATGTGACACCGTTGGTAAGTTGGGAAGCAGAATAATAATTTAGGGGGCTGCTGAACCCCGTGATAATCTGGAGACCTGGTAGCACTTACAGTCCGGAGGAGCTGTCCTCAGACAAACCCTGTCTTTCCTGCGGCCTCTTTTCTTGTAAACTGGTCCTTTGACTTCATGTGACTTCATCTTTTGTTCCTGGTAAGTGTTGAGGTTGCTCACGGCAGAAAGCATCAAGATGGATGTTGAATAAGGAAGATATGAAAAGTTAAACCCACGGGAGGTGCCCCCAGGCCTCAAGGTGACCGTGGTTGGGGGCACACTTGGCTCTGAGCCTCTTGGCCACTCACGCAGGCAGGGGACCCCACAGAGTTACACCATTGTAATGAGAGCTTCCCCGTTCGCTCTCATGCGTGCGGATGATCGTTACCAGTGTCCTAAGCGGTGAGGTGGGACTGTGCGGGTGTGAGGCTGGTCTCCTCCGCCAGGCTGGGCACCAGGCTCATTGCTTTCTGGTCACAAGGTCCCAAGACTGACACACAACACGGCAAGGCACGTTTTCCTTCTTCCCCTCCGGAGGCTCTCTCCTCTACCTTCACTTCCTCCCCCAGCTTTTCCCTGTTTGCCGTTTTCCCTTCTGTCCTATCTTCCTTAGTATCTGGCTTGTTCTTGACAGGTCATAAATTTCCACTTGGAACCAGTCTTTGAGCATAGGAATAGGGTGCTTGCTTAACAGGAAACAACACCAAGACAGTTTCTAATTTTGACAGCTATGGCACAAACCTTTATTCTCCAGGAGCTCAAAATATGGCACCACCAAGAGCAAGATTCTGAATGCGATGTGCTTAGAATTGCAGGAAAACAGTATAGGATCGACAAATGTATATTATTGTGGGATTCAAATGTTTAAAAACCTGTGCTTCCTAGGGAGTCCTAGCAGTGGGTAACCCTTCGCTCTGGCTCAGCCACATACGAGCTGGGTGACCTTGAGTAAATCTCCATAAAAACAGTCATTTTGCACTAGGTGACTTAAAAGGCCCTTCAAAATCGAGCATGATGCTCGCTAGCGTTCATGTCCCATTTTAGAGTTTACAAAATGATTTTTTTTTATATTCTATTTCATCAATCCCCTACACAAATGCAAGAGACAGGTGTCAAAAACTGACCAACCAACCCATGCTTCATTCTCTGGGGCCGTCTCCAGAAAGGAATCACTACCCTAAGCAACGTGAGCTGGGCTTCAACAGAGGGAGAGCTGATGCCCGTCGAACCCGTCAAAATCTGGTTGGGGCTAGACCAGTGCGGCTTGAGCTCGGTCCGTTGACAGAGCTGCGAAAGCATGTTGTGTCTTGAGGGTGCCGTTCTTTCCCCGTGTTCACGAGTCAGCTTCTGTGCTTGTGCTAGGAGGGGGCCCTGCCGCAGGCTCGCCCCCGAGGAGGTGCTGACCCATCAGATTGCCCATGCCTGTACCCCTTCCCCGAAAGACTCTGTGCCCTTCACCCGTGTGTCCTTCAGTGCCCAGCCCAGTCACCGCTGTTAATTGATTGAATGAATGAACGAGCAAATGAATCTGAATGCAGATGAAGGAACTCCAGCACTTCTGAATAACCAGCATTTTTTTTTTTTTTTAAAGATTTTATTTATTTATTTGACAGCGAGAGAGGGAATACAAGCAGGGGGAATGGGAGAGGGAGAAGCAGGCTTCCTGCGGAGCAGGGAGCCCGATGCGGGGCTCGATCCCAGGACCCCAGGATCATGACCTGAGCTGAAGGCAGACGCTTAACGACTGAGCCACCCAGGCGCCCCTGAATAACCAGCATTTTTATCACATGGTTTTCTTCCATAGGAATTTATAGCTGGCTCTTTTTTCTTTTGAGTATACAACTTTCCTGTCAACCATCCATTGTGATTACGTACTCTATTTCAGACCCCCTGTTGAAGAGCGGACAGCTAGTTCTGTCTTCTTTCTTTCTTCTACACCATGTCACCTTGGTACTTATATTCACCTGCTGGAGTTACTCTAACAAAACACCGTAGTCCGGGCGGCGTCAACAACAGAAATTTGTCTCGCGGTTTTAGAGGCTGGAGGTCCAAGATCAAGGTGTCAGCCCGGTCGGTTTCTCCGGAGGCCTCTCCCCTTGGCTTGCAGATGGCTCCCTTCTCCCTGTGTCTTCACGTGGTCTTCCCTGTGTGTGCTCGTGTCCTGATGACCTCTTCTTACAAGGACTCCAGTCAGATTAGCGCCCCACTCTCATGACCCCATTTAACCTTAATCACCTTTTTAAACACCCTATCTCCAAACACATTTACATCAGGGGTTAGCACTCCAACATATGAATTTCGGGGAGAGGGGGGCACCGTTCAGTCCATAACACTACTCATTTGACACTTTGCATACTGCTGGTGAAATCTTATGTCCTGTGTGACCTCCCAGGTGTGCATGCGTCTCATTTCCTCCACAAAATCTTTTAATTGCTTGGACCAGCTGTAATCATTCTTTATGTGACAGCCGCTTAGCTCAAGGCTGAACCAGCCCTGTCTCGTACTTCCTTATTGCATGCTCTTTCCAATACGTCGGTGATTTTCAGCTTCTATGAAGGAAATGAATCCCTTCCTTAAAAACAAAAAACAAAACAAAACAAAACTTACATGGTGCTTTTGTTTTAACGTGCCATAATTTATTTGTACTTATTATCAAGTCGGTTCATAAGAACAGTGGTGATTCCATGAAGAGAAAAATTTGAAAGCTGAGGTTATGACAGGTTTATAGCAGTCTCATCCAATTTATTTCTGTACTTTTTTTTTTACCTTTTATTTTGCAATAATTATAGAATCATTGACAGTTGCAAAAGAAGTTCAGAGAAGTCTCTTGTACCTATCACGTTGCTTTCTCCCATGGTTGCATCTTATGTAACCGTAGTGTATTTCCAAAACTGGGAAATTGATTGGCACAGTACAATGAGCTAGACTACAGATCCTACTCAGGTTTCACCGGTTTTTGCAGGAACTTGTTTCGGGGTATGTTTTTACATATGGCTCCATGCCATTTTGTTACGTATGTAGATTCATCCAACCACCAAGACAGTCAGGATCAGAACTGGTCCATCACCTCCAAGCAGCTCCCTTGGGCTGCTCCTGTAAATCTCCTTCTCCCTCCCCCTTTCCCTACCTCCTTCCCTCCCTTTCCTTAACCCCTGGCTACCGTGTATCTGTATTCCAACTCTATAATTTTGTCATTCCAGCATCCAATTTATTTTTGTATTTGTTTTGATTCCACAGAATGGAAAAACAATCTGAATCATATAGATATGTGGTTGCCAGTGCTAAGAGATTTTGAACAGCTATCTTCGGATCTCAGGGTCAGGCTTTGGCAGGAGGGGCTGTGCCCTCGGTTTTGCAGAAAATGGGATACTGTGGCACCTCGAGAAACTAGAAGCTTGGGGATTGCCGGTGTTTTAGAATTTGGCACATAATAGTGTTTTCTGTTTGCTTTCTTGGTTTGATTCAGGTATAAACTTACATACAGCAAAGGGTACAAATTTTGGTGGATTTTTAATTTATGCCTGTGCTTTTTTTTTTTTTTTAGTTTATCTTATATTTATTGAAATAGTTTTAAAGCAGCGCTTTGAATTCTCTTTTAACCTATTTTTCAAATGGTGGTAAATGTATATAACAAAATTTATACATAAAATCTTAACCATTTTTAAGTATGTAGTTCAGTGGCATTAGGCACATCCACGCTGTTGTACAATCATATGCCTGTATTCTCAAAACCACTACTCAGATTAAGGTATGGAATGTCATCAGCCCCCTCAGAGGTTCCCTCATGCCCCCTCCCAGCCACTCTCCCCACAAAGGTAACTTGCTGTTGTAAACGTTTTAACCACTGTCCTAAAAAGTAGCTTAGAATAGATTTCATTTTTATTTTTATTTATTTATTTTTAAAGATTTTATTTCTTCATTTGACAGAGACACAGCGAGAGCAGGAACACAAGCAGGGGGCATGGGAGAGGGAGAAGCAGGCTTCCGGCAGAGCAGGGAGCCTGATGCGGGGCTCGATCCCAGGACACTGGGATCATGACCTGAGCCGAAGGCAGACGCTTAATGACTGAGCCACCCAGGTGCCCCTACAATAGATTTCTTTCTTTCTTTTTTTTTTTTACTAAAGATTTTATTTATTTATTTGAGAGAGAGAGTGAGAGAGAGAAAGAGCACAAGAGGAGGGAGCGGGAGAGGGAGAAGCAGACTCCCTGCTGAGCAGGGAGCCCGATGCGGGACTCGATCCTGGGACTCCAGGATCATGACCTGAGCCGAAGGCAGTCGCTTAACCAGCTGAGCCACCCAGGTGCCCCCCTACAATAGATTTCAAAGTGAAATTCGAACGATTCATTTGGAGAACCTCTGAGGTAGCTAGTGGAGTTTGGGGTTCTGTTAAAAAATACTTCCCCTGCTCAGTCTGCATGAGCCCATTTCAGCAGACCAGGATCCTGATTGCGAGGAACAGGCAAAAAGGGCATTTACCAGAAGGGGGCTGCCCACGTGGGTGGCAGATCTGGTTGGAACACAGCACCCCAGGCAGCCCTGGCAGGTGAGGCTGTAGACGCCATGCAGAGGTCAGTGGCAGGGCCTGTGGGGGATGGCCTCCATCTGCCCCAACAACCGGCTGCTTGTCACCTGCCATCGGTCGTGTGGCCTGCAGCTCCTCAGCCCACCGGCACGGGCCTGAGGGAGGCTCTGGCTCTTTGCGCTTCCACGGCGGGTGGGGTGGGGGCAGTGGTACTTCCCACATCAGTGCACGGGAAGGCGTTCTCCAGAGGGGGTCGACGTGCTTTAGCCAGGGGGAAGGATGGATGCTGGACATTCCAGAACCACCAATGTCCACTACATCCCTGACCCTTTCGTGAAGATTGACATAGGAGAAATGCACGTGTCTGCAGCTTACTGTCTGTGCACGTTACAGGGATCCTGCTGACATAGGCAAGGAGGGCTTCCCTGGCCTTAGCTCCAAGGTGGTCCTGACCCCATG